CCCCGGAATCAGCGAGAAGTGTGTGTGAATTGCTCCGTTCGAATGTTCGACTTTCTGGGTTTGGATGGAGAGGTGGCGCATTCCAGGTGTGAGCTTCTGGAGAAATCGGTCCATGTAGGTAGACGTATTCGCTGCCGCTTTACCAGCATTGAGTTGTGATTGTTGGTAAAGAGTCATCCAGTGTAGAAACCACGGATAGGAGTCATCTTTGATGCTGATCTCGACGTCCACCAGCATCCGCCGGCGGAGAAGGGCAGCGCCATGTCGCACGCCTTTCTGTGCTAGAGTCAATCCTGCTCCGAGACCTGCGAGGCCGAATCCCTAGCAAAAACAATATTAGCACATCTTTTTGGAGCGAAACACTGGCAGGCTCATACCGCTGTGAACAAGGGATTATTCGTTAGCTGCGAGAGGAGACTTCCGTCGCCTTTTTGAGCCGATTGTAAGGCCTGTGTTCTCTGCTGCAGAATCAGGTCGCCCGCCGACGGCGCAGCACTAGGGACCGCATTTGGCTCCATACCAAATCAACAGTGTCGTGAAGATCGCGAATGCCGAGAAGATAAGCGCAGATATCGGAGTTACGACGGGCCGAGAATTTGACATACCCGCGGTTGTGTTACAGCGAAGTCTATGGGAAAAGCAACGATGTGAACGTCCGGGAGAACTACTTCTCCTTCAACACCTTCCAAGATTGGAATGTATCACTTGACTGATATCTAAGTATTCAAGATGGGGGCGGATGCACGAGTTTACACTCCGGTGGCGGTGTTCACACGCGTCGGCGGAGGCCTAATGTCGGAGATATCGGAATTAAAAAATAACTTTCTGCTTCTTGCATTCCTCTCCCAAAAGCCTTCTGTTCTTTGTTTGGACGAGGGGGCTGCTTTCTATAAAAGCCTTGAGCTCCCATGCGACCATTTCTCCGGTCCCCGCTTACTCGGCGGACGCAGTACCGACGCGCTATTCAACCGACAATCCGCAACATGAGCACCCCACCAGCTAGCGAAGTGCTGTATGCGCTGACCGTGGGGAAATCACCGGCTAGACCTAGCCCAGAAGATGTGTTGGAGAAAAGTCATCATGGAAAGAATGGATTTAGAAACCCGTGGGAGTAAGTGAGGCTCTGTGACATGCTGGGTTCTCGATCTTTTGTCGCATGGACTAACCAGTAACGCTGTATTGTAGGTCTTTCCGCGATATGGATTCGAAAGATATTATGCAAATGATGATGTATGTATCATTGTCGAGCATTGAAGCAAGCCAGTCTCTAACGTGTGGAACTGCAGCTCTCGTCGATTGATGGGCAAAGCGAACACTCCCGATACCACCCCGCCAACCGTCACTGTTCGCAAGCCCGAATTTCTTCCCAGCAGAGATACCCCCAGACTGCGCGCAACATGGCTTGGACATGCATGCTATTATGTGGAGTTCCCAAGCGGTCTCCGAGTACTGTTTGACCCAGTGTTCGAAGCGCGTTGTGGACCATGCTGCGGACCATATCACCTAGGCCCCAAGCGCTACACCGAGCCTCCATGTCAGATCAAGGATATCCCTGTCATCGACGCGGTGGTCATCTCCCACAACCACTACGATCATCTGTCCTACCCAACTGTCTCGGAGATCGCGAAAAGGCACCCCAATTGCCATTTCTTCGCTCCACTAGGTAACAAGTCTTGGTTCCACAGCTCAGGCATCGAAAATGTAACCGAGATGGATTGGTGGGATGAGAGCGATATTGCAATGTCACCCAAGGAGGAAAAGGACACCCAGGTTGAACCAGTAGGCGAAGCTTCGGCCACCGCGGATATCAAGGCGCGCATCAGTTGTCTGCCTTGTCAGCATGTCACTGCCCGCAGTCCTTTCGACAAATACAAGACACTATGGGCTTCCTGGGCCATTGAGTCTGGTGGTAGCAAGGTGTATTTCGCTGGGTATGACAAGCTCCCCAAAACCATCCACGCCATCAGAATGTTGCTTTGCTAACCTCCAATCTAGTGATTCCGGCTACAGGGCAGTGGACGAGCTACCAGAAGGGGAGGATGATTGGGACCCTAAGTACAGTTTCCCGATATGTCCTGCTTTTGAGCAGGTAGGTGAGTTCCGTGGACCATTTGATCTAGGCTTGATCCCCATTGGAGCATACGCGCCTCGTCATATTTTCAGTGCAGCACATTCCGACCCCCACGACGCTGTTCGGATCTTCAAAGATACTAAGTGCAAAAAGGCATTGGGCATGCACTGGGGCACTTGGGTACTTACCGAGGAGGATGTGCTTGAGCCTCCCAAGAAGCTCAAGGAGGCACTGAAAAAGCATGATCTCGCTGAGAATGGTGTTTTTGACGTGTGTGATATTGGGGAGAGCCGGGAGTTTTGAACGAAACCCCGCCTCGTGTACACTACTTTCATGGCCTGTTAGCCCGTGTTTGTGCTTGCTCCTTTATTTGTACGTTTACATATCTGAATATCGCCCTTCACGCATCAGCGGACTGACCTTATGTCTTTTGTTCATATGGGTCCGGTTAATCACCATTTCTATTCTTATTTGATGCTGTAGATATTAGGCTAAGAGCAATGTCATTCTTTCAAGGCATCATTCGAATATGTATAGTAACACAGAATGAAACAGATTGTATTACGAGTCTATATATCGAACTACAAGTTTGTACATCTGTGGAACAGCTAAGGCGTAGACAAATTGGAGATGTTTGCCTGGTTTGTCAGGGCAGCACGCTAGCCATATATGGACTAGCCCGAGGGAGCTCCCACTTCGCCTGGAAATTTGATGGAATGCGGGCGAACAGCGTTGAAGTCGGAACTCTTGAAGTGTCATCTTCGTGTAATATTTCTGGATATTCACAAGAGATAAAGACCCTTTATATCTACTTCTCACTCAAACTACAATAAATCACCGCCAATATGCAGGCTCCGGTGGTGGTGATGAGTAGGTTACCCCCAATCGAGTTGCTCCCCTTTAAGTGTTAACAGATCACCCAGACACCAATTCTGGTGAGCGCCAGGTTGGCCGGAAAGCACAGATGTCTAACATTACTGCGGCGAAGACGTACGCTATCCCTCTATCCTCCGCTGTTCTCCCCTGATCGATACTAATTCGATAAATACCAGTGTTGCGGATATCATTCGGTCATGTCTCGGACCCAAGGCGATGTTGAAGATGCTGCTTGACCCTATGGGTGGTATTGTGTTGACCAACGATGGCCACGCTATTCTGCGAGAGATCGAAGTGTCGCACCCCGCGGCCAAGAGCATGATCGAGCTCAGCCGTACCCAGGACGAGGAGGTCGGAGATGGTACCACAACAGTCATCATCCTAGGTATGACAAGACTCGTTTTGGAAGACTCGATGGTTAATGCTGATACTCCATAGCCGGTGAAATGCTCGCCCAGGCCATCCCCCAGCTCGAACGAAACATCCACCCCGTCGTTATCATCCAGGCTTTCAAGCGTGCCCTCGCCGATGCCCTTCAGATCGTGGAGGAGGTCTCGACACCCGTTGACATTCATGATGACAAGGCCATGTACACCCTTATCCAGTCCTCCATCGGAACCAAGTTCGTGTCCCGTTGGTCAGAGCTCATGTGCAGCCTCGCTTTGAGTGCTGTGCGAACCGTCTCCTTCGATGTTGGTAGTGGAAAGCAGGAAGTCGATATCAAGCGCTACGCCCGTATTGAGAAGGTCCCCGGTGGTCAAATCGAGGACTCCGAAGTGATTGACGGTGTGATGGTCAACAAGGATATCACGCATCCCAAGATGCGTCGCAGAATTGAAAACCCCCGCGTTCTTCTCCTGGATTGCCCCCTGGAGTACAAGAAGGGCGAGTCTCAGACCAACATTGAGATCTCCAAAGAGGATGACTGGAACCGTATTCTCCAGATCGAGGAAGAGCAGGTCAAGCACATGTGCGAGGCCATTCTGGCTTTCAAGCCTGACGTTGTTATCACCGAGAAGGGTGTTTCCGGTAAGCAAGCGGTCTGATTAGGGTGATTGATTGCATGTTCTAACCACTGAGTTTTACTAGATCTTGCACAGCACTTCCTGGTGAAGGCCAACATCACAGCCCTCCGCCGTGTGCGAAAGACCGACAACAACCGTATTGCCCGTGCAAGCGGTGCTACCATCGTCAACCGTGTCGATGACATCCAGGAGTCCGATATTGGTACCGGGTGCGGACTGTTCGAGATTGAGAAGATTGGCGATGAGTACTTCACATTCATGCGCAAGTGCAAGTCCCCGAAGGCCTGCACAATCCTGCTGCGCGGCCCCTCCAAGGATATCCTTAACGAGATTGAGCGCAACTTGCAGGATGCCATGTCCGTCGCTCGCAACGTTATCTTCCACCCTCGTCTATCTCCCGGTGGTGGTGCTACTGAGATGGCTGTCTCCGTGAAGCTCAGCCAGCTTGCCCGCTCCGTCGAGGGTGTCCAGCAGTGGCCATACAAGGCTGTTGCCGATGCTATGGAGGTCATCCCCCGGACATTGGCCCAGAACGCCGGTGCCAGCCCCATTCGCGTGCTTACCAGTCTCCGTGCCAAGCACGTCGAGGGCCACAACACCTGGGGTCTGGACGGCGAGTCTGGGAACTTGGTTGATATGAAGGAGTACGGTGTTTGGGAGCCCGAAGCCGTCAAGCTTCAGAGCATCAAGACTGCGGTCGAGGTACACCCCCTACTGTTCTTCCATACTCACTATATTTCACTAACATATCTCTCTCTAGTCCGCATGTCTCCTTCTCCGTGTCGACGACATCTGCAGCGGAAAGTCCGCTCAACAGATTGCCGGCGGCGGCGGCGGCGGCGGTGGCGGCGAGGAATGATTGATAGACGAAAAAGAAAAATGATACTTGGACTCGAGGTCCGTACATAATGTTACACGATTTGCCTCATGGCTGTCTTCCTTCTGTATGAATATCCTAGATTCAAAAAACCAAATCCAGATGGGTATCTTCGTATCGTACACAGCCAGCATCTTTGAACCCGCCTCCGCTAGTCTTCATCATGGAAAATGACGCCAGGAACTTCCTGCTGGGCCACCTGGCCATCAACAGCGCCTCCATCCTGGTCTTCCATAGTGACCATCGAGCCCGGGGCAGCTGAAACCTCCATAGGAGTAGTATCATTCTGACCACCATTACCCTTCTTCCCGCGCGCATTCTTCTTCTTCTCCCTCCTCCTCCGATTCTTCTCCGTCTTCTCATCGTCCTTGCGCTTCTTCTCCTCTTGTTCTTTCTGCCAAGTCTCATTATACTTCTCGTTATCCACCTCAGACTGCATCAACCGCAGTCGCTCATACTCCCGCCGCCGACTGGCCTTATATACGTGGAATTCGCCAGAGCCCGCACCGGCCGATGATCCCTGCACATTCGTGACGATCTCCGGCGGCGCCGAGAGGGATGCCACGGTGCGCGGCTTCACCGCATCCGGTAGTCGGATGTCTTTGCTGGGGTCTTTGAAGAGTGTCTGGATCTCGTTGGCGACCTCGGAATGCGGTGTCACGGCGCGGCGCTTTGTTGGCCGCTTGCTGCGCGGATCCGCACTTGTGGGGATGGATTCTGGACCTGGTTCGGACATTGTGCGGGTGTTGGGTTGAGGAGAGGCGATGCGACCGCGTGGAATCGGTGGGGTCTGCGTGAGTGGGAGGAATTGGTGTCTTCTCCTTTGGACTGGTACTGAAAGAGGCTTCCCTTTTGGCACTAGGAGATGGCCACTGTGAGTTTAGTGGGCTTTCGATTACTCAAGTGCAGTGAGAAACCTTGGAAGGCGAGGAGTCGGTAGTAAGAAGCTCAAGATGTAGACTTGGGCAACCTTCAATCGTCGGAATAATCTAACCGCCTTCGGTTAGCGGCATAAGCACATGGCAGATCACCCTTGCCAAAGGTTTTCTTCCTGTGTTGAAAATTGTTTAGCTTGGGATGCTTCTTTCTAGGCTATTTAGCTTGCTGATTGCTTATCTTCTAGATACTATAGTAGCGATAACAAAATGGTCTCTGCCGGATTATATAGGCATAGAATGCCGGTTCTTTACTTGCAATAAGATCACAGCGAGTTTTACCATATCCTGACTCAAAGTCGCCTCCTAGTGAAGAATAATTGACATATAAGGACGAATTCTAAATCTCTTAAAATAGAAGAACATCAAATTTGCTACTACTTAATGTCTAGATTCCAACCGTCTTCCTACTATCGAACACTCCTGAAAGAAGTAATAAACTAGCTAAAACCTCAGGCCCTTTTAGGTCTAGTAAGTGCGATGCATATATAGGCTAATTAAATTGATTAATTGGACATAAAATGCACTTATTCACGGAAAATATTTAAAAAAATAAAACACAATAGCTAAGCATGCGAGGAGAGTTCTGATTGGCCAGAAAGTCAATATTATTCAAAAGGGGTATGACACGCAACGCAACGAAGGGATTTCTTTGTTTCTTTCCAAAGTTCTTTTATTGTTCTTCCCCCCGATGAGAATTTTATATCTCACTATTCTGAGAACAATGAAAGAGAGTAAATCAATACTCGGATAAAAGCCCTGGAGTCAGTTGACAGCTTAATAAGACTTTCTTGCAGCTGTCCGCTTTACAATACCGTGGTAGCATTCTATTCATTTTGCTCTCACAATAACTTCGATTGAACTTTCCTATTTTCGGACGGTCACATTGAGCGAACAATCAATTTCTTTGTTCATCGTTCCTTTGTTCATTAATGACCGACATATCTGTGTGCTGGTACTACATATGTACCTAACCTTTACTCCACAACCATCGTCAACCTTACACATACACCTGCTTTTTTCCTCTACTGGCATAGTGACTACCATCAGTCAAAATGCCTTACCGATTTGGTGAGTAACTTACCTCATGTTTATTGTCTTCTTACTCTTGTTCTTACGGTCAATGGGTGTATGTCTGTTGAGCCAGGTGAGAATGGTTGTGCAAAAGTATGACGTCGTGCCCTAATTCACACGCATTTTCTTTGTGTATTCTGGCATTTCCGACACAAATACTCAACTCTCCTGAATTCAAGGAATCCAAAATAGCCTTCATGACATCACAACTAACTTCATAATCAGAGATTGCCGCTCAAGGCCGTGCTGGCTGCAAAGCCCCCGACTGTGTCAAAGAGAAGATCAAGATCACCAAGGGTGAATTCCGCGTTGGCACCTGGATTGATGGCGCGGGCTTCCAGAGCTGGTCCTGGCGCCACTGGTGAGTCCAGCCTTGTTAAGACACATGGCGGTCTTAGCATCATTCATGGCTTCTATCCCTGAGCCAATGATATCAAATACTGACCACATTCAGGGGTTGCTTTACCCCCAAGCAAATTGTGAACGTCAAGAAGGACCTCGCTGAGGACTCCGAGGAGAATCCTGATTTCTCTCGAATTGACGGCTTTGATGAGATTGGCGAAGAACTCCAGGACAAGATTCGTAAGGCCATCGAAGTCGGTCACGTCGAAGATGACGAATGGAGAGGTGTAAGTTCAGCTCCCTCAATCCGCATACTTAGAGCATTTTCCTTGAAAATGGGCTCAAGGCTGTGGATCAATCGGCTAATGCTTCGTAGGATCTCGAATGCAACCGCCCTGGACATGTCGGCATGCGTGTCAAGGCTAGCAAGGCCAAGGCTAATGAGGTTCGTGAATTCCATTTTGTATCCACATGTCATATGAGATACTAATCTCACTCCCAGGCCAAGGAATCTGATCAGTCCTCTCCTGGCAAGAAGCATGGTCTAACCGATTCCGAGAATGCGGACGAGGAGCCTGCCAAGAAGAAGCAGACCCGTGGCAAGAAAGCTGCCGATGATGATGATGCCATTGCTGATGCCGCCGTCGTCGAGACTGAGCCCAAGGAGGCCAAGAAGCGTGGCCGGCCCCCGAAGAAGACTGCCGCGGACAAAGACAAAGCTGATGTCAATGTCGAACCCAAGAAGCGTGGCCGTCCTGCAAAGAAGACTTCGGACGAAGACAGTCCCGACGCTGAGATTGAGGCCAAGGTCGCGGCCAAAACGCGTGGCGGTCGCGGCAAGAAAGTTTCTGAAGACGAAGGTGCTGATGCAAACACTGAGATGACTACCGAGCCCACTGAGCCCGCTGAGCCGACCCGCCCCAAGAAACGTGCTACTCGTGGCAACAAGATCACCAAGGATGAAACTGCCTCTGACGACATTGAGCCCAAGGAGGAGCTCAAGAAGCGTACTACTCGTGGCAAGAAAATCACTACCTCCGAGGCTATCGTTGCGGACATGGAGTCCGACCAACTTCAACCTGCCGATGAGGTTAAGCCAACCAAGAAGGCGGCTGTGACCCGTGCAACTCGTGCAAAGAAGGATGCCAACAAAGATGTTTCCCCCGTCGAGAAGGATGTCTCCTCTGCCGACAACGAGACTGGCCCTGTCAACTGCGATATCAAAAAGTCTACCACTCGTGCCAAGGCTGCCAATGGCGCAAAGACTACGAATGGCTCGAAAGCTACCAATGGAGCCAAGGCCAGTGGATCGGATGCTTCCAAGGATGAGCAGGCTGACGAATCGACCGAGAAGCCCAAGCGCACCCGCGGTACCAACAAGAAGACCAACGGCAACAATGCTACCTCTGAGAACAACCTCCAGCCAACTCGCAGCCGCAAGGCCCCTGTCGACAAGGCTACGCAGGCACCCACCGAAGAGGTTGCTGAACCCCTGAACTCTACCAAGGAGAAGCTCAAGACTAGAGCTCGCAAGCCAGCTGCCGTGAAGATCACCGATGAGTCCGCTGACCAGGCTGCCCAGGAGCCTGTCGAGGCCCCCATTCAGAAATCTGTTGAGGGCGCTACCATCAAGTCCGAGGACGGTCCCAAGAATGAGAACGCTCCCGCTGAAGTCCAAGATGAGCCCAGCGTCGAGGCTGCTGAGAAGCCCGTTGAGGACGCTAACGAGAAGCCCCTCGAGTCTCCTCTGAAGCCAGTCAAGGCTGAGGACACTGCGATGACCTCTAAGCTTGCCTACCCTTCGTGCTAGTGTCTCATCTCGCTTTGTGTGGAGAATATTGCACTCTGTGAATTATGAAATACCAACTCTTGTCTTCTGTGCTTTGTGCTGTCGCTGGTCTTTTCCATCGGTTCTTTTGTCTTTTCATTTCGGTCTGTGTTAAGAACCCGGATGGATGCCAGCTGGAAATATCAGCTTTGCTTTTTTTTAATGCTGCCAATTGATTTCATCTCTTTTCTCCTTTCCTCCGGGCCTGAGATTCGGTTTCCCTTTAGTGACAGCTGGTTTACTCAGGAGCACCGGCTTATTTGTATGCATTTCCGGGTCGTTCTCACCACCGATTAGCCTGCGAGTTGACAACACGAATTCAATTGTTTTCCGAAAATCTAACTTTCGGTAGTTCGAGGGCCACATAGAGCTTGATTCCTGCAAGCCATTGGCTTTTGGCCGCAGTTGAGGGTACTAGTATGATATCCAGTGTCCATAGACATTGACTCTAGAAAACTCCCTTCTAATGCAAGACGTACAACGAAGTCCGGGCTATCACTACGAGTCTTGGAGACGAACGAAACCTCTTGAGTAAGAATACTTCCCTTGATAAAAGCTAACTATGAACTTGTACGCTCCTCCTTCCCCCCAGTCCACCCAACGGCGACGGAAGCAAAAGAAGACAAACCAATTGAAACCCTTATATTGTGCAAGATAAAACGGCGGGAACATCATAATGAGCAAATGCAAAGAAAAAGACACGCGAAAAGAAGCAGAATGATTAAGAATTCAAATGACCAGAGGTCGAAACCTGTAGAAAATGAGAAAGAGCCCAAGCACAAATGGAAAATATCATGCGCTTAATGCAGCTGATATAGGCACAGAGTTCTGTGGGCTGCTCCCGCTTAATCAGTATGCATTATATGTTTCCCAGACCGCGGCTCTCGAGTAGCGCACGGGTGTTTCCATACAACTCCGGGTTATGGATGTGAGCCTCCTTGCGAAGGTCGAGAACTTTGTCTTGAAGCTTTGGATGGGTTCGCAACAACCCCCAGAACTGCTCGCTGGCATTGTATGTGAGCAAATCTGAAGCCTCGCCGATGAAATGAATTAGCCATGACTGGAGGTAATCGCAGTCACCCTCATCAAACTCTGCGCGGCCAGTGAAAGCAAGAGATGCGACTGCGAGGAGGGGTTTGGATTGGTATAGCTCCGGGTAACAGTTCCAGGCGACTTGGAGCTTGAATGTGATTCGATAAACCAAATCCATCAGGCCGAAACGGCGGGCTTGGACGTACACTCTTCCGAGGACGATGATGGCATTTTCCAGATCGATGCTGTTCCTCACGCCGTTCAGTTTGAAGTTCTGACCAATTCCCATTTGATCGCCAACCAGCCGGTAGGTAGTGTTGCTGTTGGAATCTAGGGCTGGGAATGGAGTCGGATGGGAGAAGCCAGAGTTTCTGAGTGTAATCAGGCGAGGGGGGAACTCTCCATTGGCTAAGTATTCGCCTATCTGCAGGTGCTCTGGCTGATTTTCAAGAGCCAGGGCACCTAGGAACACATCGGTGATCTTGGCGGTTTCACGCTGATTCAGAAAGACATGTTTCAGAGCTTGGCTGAGAGTCAAATCAAAGATTGAGAACTCTGGGACGGTTTGCTGAGGTGCCACATCTGTAACACTGCCATTACCACTAGCACTGTAGAGTTCAGTACATTGGTCAGTGAATGCGCATCGAGAGTTGAAGTCAGAAATTGACAAACCTAGTATCATTTTCAACCTTAGGCACCGGGCTTTGCGTCATGGTTGGTGGCACAATGAATGTCGATGAGTTTGGGAGAGAAGAAGAAGTGGGAGGCACCAGAGGAAGACACGGATGGAATTGCCGGGTCGTCCCTAAGCTAGAGCTCTCCCTGTCAGCAAAGGCGATACTTTCAAATGCAGAGACAGCGGGTTTAGCATCTTGGGAAAACCCTAATGTTTGTCTGAACTGAATGCCCTGTCCAGCATGTGGTTCGGAAAATGATCTGATAGTTGTTTGCTCATTAGATGAGCCAGGTGCAGCATCAATATCAGGCTCCACGTGATCTGATGGGTCCTCTTGATATCCATCTTCATCTTCGTTGTCATCTTCATATTCCTCCTCGAACTCAGGCTCAACATCACTTTCTCCGCAGGAGACCATATCTTCATGGCCACTCGGTAAAACAAGACGGAGTTCCTTGCCTCGTTTGCCCTTGGCCCCTAGTTCCTGGAGAGACATGTTCTTCCAGAATTCCAGGCCAGGCTCAGTTCGAATGATTTCCACTAGGTCATCCCAGATCTTGGCATCTGGCTCTCTCTGGGCGCGACGAAGAACGTTGATGGTCTTTTCATTGAGAACAAAGAGATCCTGGAGTCCGACCCATTTGCTTCATATATATCAGCTTCCGATTCTTATAGATCAACAGGCACAAGTATAGTCAGAAAAACTGACGTATTGATTAACAAGCAGGCAGGAAAGCCAACGGTCACACGTGTATCAATAAACACACAACTTCGGGGGTCTTTTTTGGGTGTGAAAAAAGAGACCAAACTTACTACATGTTTCGACCCGGAAGATACATGGGGTATATCCGGTCTTTCAGGTGCGTCATCCAGACACCCTCAACTGGCTGGGAACCAACAGGGCGGCGATTGATGTGTCTGCTTGGTCCGAACCTTTCTGGCAGCACCACTCCAATCCAGACGTCAGATTTGTATTGACGGAGGGAATTCTTGTACCGGACGACAAAGGTTTCACCAGGCTCCAGGGGGCGGGGCTTGCCTAGGTGCCTCAAGCCAGTGGTCAGATAGGTTCTGGGTCCCATCTTGGTCGCGCTGTCGTGCAATGAAGTATTTGAGAATTCAATACTCTTCTGAGAAGATGATTGCTGATCTTAGTCACCGGGAGGTGGAAGCGACTGTCAATGTCAGTGGTAAAAGGCTTCAGGCAATTGCGGGTTCTTTTGAAATACGAAAAGAAGTGAGGTTGCCACTGATCTGGTGTTCAGTCGTAGCAGGCGATCAAGCCGAAAGATGATATTGGGTTACCGGGTCGGAACCGAGAGTATAGTGATAGGAAGCCACAAGGTGCAAATTTCAGGTCCTGTGAGGTTTTTGGGGGTAGTTGCCAGTGATACCAAGATTATGGTCAATGACTTTTGAAGAAAAAGGAAGTGAGCTTCTGAAGATTGAATGGTTGGCGAGTCTCGGGGATATAGTTCGTCTGGTGTACTGTCGCCTGGATCAGAAAGCGATGAGGCTTAGACAAGTCACGTAGTACTGTCTTTGCTAGCACACGTAGAGGCTATATGTCCACGGGAAGAGAAGAAGTTATGTTGAGGACAACGCCGAGCCTCAGGTCTTTAATACTATGATGTTGTAAGCGAAGGATGAGAGCTTCGTGTCGGGCAAACAGACGGTTTTCTTGACTGTGATTGAATCAATGATTGATGAAGGTTGTCGTGGTGATGAACCACGAGGCCTTCTTCGCTAGGATTGTCTACGATATTTAAGAAAGCACGTTGTAACCAAGAGATCCCGCAATGCTAGATATTACCCATATAGTCTTGGGCTTCCAATTCACCTAGGGGTCGACTACAATTTTATTGGCTAGTAGGGACGGGAATCAGGACGTAAGATCCGTCCATAGCTTGAAACTAGTATCGAGAGAATAATGACTTGGCACGGAAGGGGTTTAATGTGTACATATGTATAATAAACTTGTTTCTGTTCCCTCAACATTGAACAACTTTCGATTTAGACTAGTTTAGACTATCTACGGTAACAATTCTTGATGTAATGTGCCTCTAGGGCTTCCAAAGACCTTCAGGTACGGACTTATAAATGAATATCACGTACCAAGAATGGTTGTACGAAATGTCCGAAAACCGACTCATTGGAAAACCATAATACCAAAGTGTAGACCTTCGTTCACCCATGAACTGGCTTTTATACAAATGAACGGGCTTAGTAAATTGCTCCTGGACAGTATCGCGGTCAAAGCCATAAAATCTACCCAAGATTCAGCGCAGGGGCAAATGCTTGCAACAATCCGGAGACTAAAACATGGTCGAGGGTTGGATACAATCTGACTATGTACGTCATGAATACTTCTATGATTTCTTTGTTTGAGGTGGCCGAATTTCTTCATTTCTGTTTCTCATCACCGTATGGGCGCGTTGCCCAAGAGCAGATTAAGCGATGTACAAAGCATCGCCTGATTAGAGGCAAAAGCGTAATCACTATCGCAAACAAGAGTAGCGGACTAAGCGCAGATCATTAAAGACCACCAAAGGCTCAATCTCAAGGAGTGTAGAGTGGTTGAACGCATGTCAAGATACGCCGTGGGTCCAATTAAAAGCGAATAAGCTCGGTTCTTCAACCCAAAAGGGCGGCCAACCTCGAGAGAAGCGAAGGTCGAGTTGTCGTCAAAGAAAGAATGCAGACCGATGCAAGTTTGTTCTCAATTTGCCATTCTGGTGAGAAAGATGCATGCCTCGCTTGTTCAATTTCAAAATCCAAGTCGCTCGATCCAGTGCATAGGAAATGTTACAACCGCTTAGAAAAATCTCGGCGATCGCTTGGTGCTGGTAGACACGAGTGTAAGCACTCAGGGCTCGGCATTGAAAAAGACAGTCAGCAGTAAAAGAGGGACACGCAGAGAGCTAGGGCGGGGGCGAGGGAGAAGGGGAAGGAGAAGGGGAAGGAGAAATTGAATCGTACCGCAGCTCCGAGAGGTCGTCCATGTGGTTGCACATTGCCACAAACAGGTCGAAGAACAACTTACCCCCTTCCTCCATCTCCATCTGCAAGGTTCCGCTGCTCTTGAAAGTCTTGCGACTGCGGATTATAAGAGCCAGATAATGAGCGCGCAGTCGAGAATCAGACTCGGGTGTATTATCATATGCATATCGAGCGGATCGCAAGATCACGTCGGCTGGAATACCACTCTGAAGACCCTGCTTCCGGAGAGCAAGGCGCTTGAGCTCTTCCAAGCCGTACTTCTCAGCAGCACAGTACACTGCCGTGTCTCGGAGCACGACATCTCCCACTCCGGAGTGGAACATTGTCGGCTCGCTCGACCCGCGGCCACCAGTTTCATTGATATCCCGGGCGTTCTCGAGTGACCAAGAGTTTCTTTGCTTTCCACGCAACAGGCGCGGGAAGTAGTCGCCCTTGTACAAAAACTCGAGAACACACGACAGAATCTCAGGTTCTCTGTCTCGAGTATAAGTTTTTGTTCAATCGAAGTAGGCAGGGCTTTCTCACTCGTCAGATAAAGTCAGTTGCTTTGCGCCGTCTTCGAGAAACTGCTCCTTCAGAGCAGCACTGAAAAACGGCGACGCGGATAGGACATCTTTATGGGCGGCGAAGAGACGTTGGTCCCGGCCAACAATCATAGTAATGATAGGGCTGGTAAGGGGACTATAAGAATCGATCATCAGCATATCGAATCAATGTCGATATTTATCGAGAGCGCAACTCGGCATCTATAAACAAAGACGCACCTTCCCATCGAGGGGCTTTCCACTTTCTGCTTCATCTTCTCCTTAACTAGCTCGTCGTACTTCTTCTTGGTGACCTTGACGGTCTTGCCCGCCCGGTCCTTAGATACGAAAGAGCGCTTGAACATAACGGCGCAAAGGAATCCTATTGCCGAGAGATTCCCATAGAAGACGGTCAAAAATAACGAGATCAGTTTGTAGTTATCAGAAGGAATGATACGAGTTGGTCGAAAGAAAGACGGATTGACGCTGCTGGTCATGCACACGAAGCATGTGAGTCTTGGAAGCTCCCCACAGAAACGGCCCCCCGAGTCTTAGTTAAAAGACGAGGAATACGCAGTTCCGGGATGGCTTTGCATTCGAGAATCCGAAATGATTCTCTTAGCGAACAGTTATCGACTCCGGCAGGCGTGGAAGGAAAGAAAAAGAAGAAAAGAAAATGGGAAGAGGGGGTTTAAATAGGCGGGTCAGGTGATATCAAATGTGACTAGAGAGAAAGTCACCTGCTAAGTGAGGCTCAGGCTCAGGTGAAATTCTGTGTGGCTGGTTCCTTCGAAAGTCTTCAGGGCTGTGTATGTTCGCGCTAAATTCTCACATCACACTAGTTATGGTAGATACGCTAAGTCCGAACCAATGAGAATATACATAGAATTCTCACAAAAAGGGCCATGATGGAGTGCGAGTGACGTCGAATGGTATTATATATTTACATGAGGCCACCTGGGCAATCATGTTGGACGACGAACCATCCAATGTACACTAAGTAAGTACAAACTAACTATTGGAACAGCACAAGTTCTATTTCCCTCGCCGGCGAGAGAATAATCTTCTGAGAATGCTTTGTCCCCAAAATAAGCGATCTGTGTCGAAGATTGCTCCGCTGTATCCAGTTCAGGTACTCAAAGCCAGCCACAACCAGCTGTAAGCATCGTAATACCAAAGCTTGAGATGTGGCCGACATTGACAGAATATATGCCATTGCCGGCAGAGCAGTCCCGGTCTCGCTGCCCCTCACATTTTACGCAGCTGGCCTCCGAGCCATTGCTGTAGTACTCCTGTGCATGATTACGGTCGGTAAGCGATTGAATATTGGTATAGAAGGGCCTTGGTAGAATAACTCACGGTTCCATAGTGTTTAAAGTTGACAAGCCCACTCACGTACATGTTCTGTGTCGTACGGTCAGCCACTTTGATATAATGTCTCGTGCTCAATCATGGCTTACTGGAACACCGTCAAGAACGTTATTTCCCCGGTTCAAAGTACCAGGCTGCGAGCTAGCAAAGTTTGCCCAGGCTTCGTTGCCGATAGGGAAAGCAGCGAGTGCATTGCTGGTGATTTCCTTGCCCGGGAAGTTCTGGGCCAGTGCAACGTGGGCAATATATGTGAGTGAACCGCCTAGGGAATGTCCAATTGCCTCCAAAGTGTAATCCGGATACTTCGCAATGAGCGATTTGACTTCCCCAATGACGGTGTCGTGTACAGCGGACCAAGGCCTGTCAATACCCCTCATAACCTTCACGTTGGAAGGGAAAGTCACGCCTGAGAGCGAGGGAGTCACGAGATGAATGTCAATATCATTCAAGACGTCGGTGACTAGATTAATTAGCAAGGTGAGTCAGTATTAAAATGAATTGGTTTGTCCATACTGGTAGTCGAGCCCCTCATGATGACCGAGATCTTCTTCTTCTCAGTAGAGTATCCAACGAATCCCTATTAAAATTAGTCATTTGCTAGCGTATAGAGAATACCACGCCTACATTGGTGCTGGTCAAGAGGTCAGTAATCCTCTTGGTAATAGTGACATCGAAGGCTTTTCCAATGCAACCGCTGTAGGCAGCGGAAGAAAGCTGTGCTGCACGGCGCAAATCAGGGAAAGCAGAGGCGGCTTGAGATATTGTTAGAGCTTCCTAAACGGACATATATGGGCTTACGGATCTACACACCAGCAGTTGCTCTCGACTCCAATATAGGTGCAGAAAGGGCTTGAGATATTAAGGAGATCCCTAGGAGCAGAGATTGGCAGTTGAACAGCATGTTGGAACAGTATATGAGAATTTTGTAGAACGCTTTTGAGATATTCAGGAAGGATGCTGGGGCGTTGTCTTCCGATGAAAGAAAGGGAAACTGTCTCGGCTTACATGACTCTTTAAATAATCCTTCATATACCCCTCAAATTATTCCCTGTCTTTATTGTCGCTATATTGGCTTATTTGCTTACTGGAGACGGAACACCGCGCCAGGTGGGTGCATCGGGGGTGATATCCCAAACAGGTACTCCATGCATGACGAATTCACAGATGAACATCCTCCGGGATCTTTGTGGATCCCTCGAGCTTTCCAGCCTGATGGTAACAGCTCCAGCGAGTTCAAGCACAGCCTATAGGCTTCAAAGACTTTTGATCTTCACACGATACGGGACCAGGGCGCTGAGACATAATATGTCCAAGGAGCCTCGTTAACTAATCAAAATTGCCAATACCTACGCGTGGAGCACTATGACCTTGGAACAATGTCTATGTCTCAAAGCACAGAAATGGGAGCCTAGTACTCCGTAGGGCACATAGTAGATTTTGACCGCCTAACTCACCGCTGGCGTTTCATTACCACTCCATACAAAACCTTAAAGATCTACATGGATTAATCCTCCGATTCCTTGTAATAAATTAAATTAAATGAATATTCATCTCTGGATTGAATAAAAGGTTATAGCATAGAGTATTCGACGCATAGATAATTCAAGCATCAAGAATTCAAAGGATAGAGAATAAGAAAAGTTAGCCACTTACACGACCTTGTCGAGACTGTTTAGTAGAACCTTTTGACAATATCAAAGGTGGAGATCTTAGTGCAATATCACTGATCTCGAAGCTATGGAACCAGAGGGAATAATCTATGACTGCGGAGTAGTTGGACCAGGTAAATCAGAGGGATTTAGGCCATGGCGGTGAACGGAGATTGCTTCCAGTGTACTATGGTTGTCTACATACGCAGGCAGTCAAGGGTATGCAGCTCTTATTTGCCGGGGCCAATTGTTAACCCAGCCCATTAGATCCGTATCGAGGTCAGGGTCGGGTGGAGGATGCTTGGGAGTTTATTTCTCAAGGAAAATATCTCGAGGTCCTGTTTGCATTGGTTCCCATGGCGTAGTGTATATGTGTGATTCGGGTCCTTTGTACTAGTCTTCGATCCGTGCTACATGTTCAAACAAAGAGTGCAGTCAATCAAAATACTAGAAATAGAGAGAGCGGGAAGGGAAGCAGAGGAATAAACTCCAGAAGAGTATACCGCGAGACCCACTTCGTCACGCTATATTAATACGTATACGGCGTCACTAGACGAGTGAATAAAGTCAATAAAGGACGATCCTTCAGCATGTGATAGCATGTGATCGTGCTGGGCTCCTTGGAGAATTTCCAGATATCCTTTTTGAGTATTCCACTCCTTATTGGTGCTATATCTAGAATAACGAGAAGCACTAGCCACAAAAGATAGAATATGGACAGCAAAAACGGTGTGAAACGTGTAAACCGACTTTTCTATATAATCCGTGACGCCTGTTGCACTGCCCAGCCACCCCACTTCCGTGGGGCGAGTAGATGATGGAAGGATAGAAAGTTAGACAATAGGAAATTCAGACACCGAGAATTTAGGCCTCGGTAGCTTAGGCGTTGGGAATTCATAACTATATTGAGAATTCAAGTATTAAGAACTCGTCTATCGAGAATTAGACTTGATTTTCAACTTAGATCCAGAACCAGTGCGATATAAGTAAGTGTATTGAGATGTATAGAATACTGGGATTACAAACTCCATTGCCGGCAGAATCTGAACTGGCACACTAGCGTAGTGATAGACTGTCTTACTTGTACGCTAGAATGGAGCAAAAGTATGAGATTGACCAACCAACCTTGGACTTGGCAAGCCTAGCGTCAGGAGAAGTCATTGCCAAACCACCCTAATGTGGCTAGACTAAATAATATTTGCGGGGGAAACGTTGTAGTGGTCATGTGTTTAATTAACGGCCTCGGGCTTTTAACTTCGGAATATATTAAGGCTTGAACCTTGACCAGAGTCTGATCGACGCGACGTGATGAAGATCGTCACTCTCTTCCACCGCAAAGGACCACGGTGGAGTACGTACGTGGAACATATCGGTAGGCATATCCGGGTATCCCGAGCTGAATCAGGCTCTTCGAACGTTCTTACCCGTGGACGTTTTCGTCGTGCTTTCCCCGCAAACATCGTCTCTTGTAATACGCCATTCGGAATGGATCCGACGAACGCTTACCTAGGTAAGTACATACATATGTATGTACGTAATGCCGATGAATATGATACTTCGGTATTGGTTCTATCCATGAACTTGGCGTAGCCTCCGGTGATTCCGATGATGCATGGACTGACCACTGTTTCCGTTCGGGGAGCTTTACTTCCGGCGGAGCGAGGCCCAGTATGTAAGAATGAAAATATCCGTTGAACAGAAGCAATCGGCAGTTTAGGGCTCGGCAGTAGGAGGCCGAGGTGCTTGGCTTTGCGGGGATTTTGAGACAGAATAGAATATGCAAGACGCCAAATAAACTAAAATATGCAGCCCTTAAGGCAGAAGCGGAGTTCCTATACGAGTTTGAGTCCCGAGATGATCACGCTTTGGTGTCGACCTCGGTATACATTCTTCGCCCATTTGATTCTTGTTAGTGGATAAGGTGATGCTTGGCAGAGGTGAGATGGATACATATTTGCTTCTCCCCTCTTCCTAAACAACAAGGAGATGGGTCCTTGCCTGAAAAGTGAAATAAGCCATGTCATCTTTAGTGTTCCGTCAGTGTTTGTCGAGCCATCCATAGCAATACCATCGACAATCTCCAAGCCTTTGGAAGATCCACACCTGCATTACTAGCAGAGATAGATAGATACATACTTTGCCGCGCATTATTTATGTCGTAGGTACAAGTTTGTGTTAAGATACCTCTGGAATCTCCCCTAGAGTGAGTGAATATCGTATGCTTCAAAAGCCGAACATCATTTGCATGTCAATGGCTACATTCGATTCCAACATATGCACCAAGCACAACATATGCAGGATGCTTGTAACGAATCGTCAAGTTCCAAGGCTAGTAATTCCCCATCCATGAGAGCAGAAATCCATGTATAGTCCTTTTTCTAGTGGGTCGAAAACATGTTGGCTGCAGAACCACCGCTCTTCAGGCACCGATACCCCGACGCATCACATGTAGGTATCTACATATGTAGGTACAGGGTCCGTGTGGGGCGCATGGGGAACGGATAGAAAAGGGTGATCCTAATAGTTTTGAGACCCCGGCTCCGTTGTATATAGTCTCTAAAAGTGAGATAAGTTGGGCAGCTGCTAAGGTTACATTCGGAGGCACCCGGCTACTTGGAGGGGCTGACAGGATGATGTACAAGAACGATTGTCGGGAGACCGACGGAGTTGGTCGATCCTGCCCTGAAATGACCACATGTAGATCGCAAAGATGTCAAAAGCGGGAGCCTCTACCTAGGTAGGGCTTGGCTCAGCCTCGGAACCTTGAAACGGAGCGGCCCAGTCTAGTCCTACTTAGGGAAGGCGGCAGTTTGGTCCGTTTGATTGAAAGAGGTATAACATGCGCCGTCTCCTCCCCATTCTCAACATAAGTTCCGCAAGGATATCGTCGTATCTCATTTGGATCCCGACCTATATAAGTCAAAAATCTGGCCTGGTGTGTCCGCTCGGAATTTCGTTCGGCGCCCCTCGTCTCGTACCTTGGAATACCATGTTCCCATTGGTCGTTAAGTTGTGGCTCTGGCGTGTATCTGCATTTGTCTCAATCGTGCCAATGCTTATATTCATGCACTTTGAGAAAGTCGTCGTCCTCCGGTGAAACGGTATCCTGACTCTTTTCAGTGTCTCGTCCCGGCGTTTTATCTTCTAAGTCGCATTGTAATGATAGGAGAGGTATTTGCCGTGTTAAGAGAAGCAGACCCTACTATTTATGACACCTATGAGTACTCCGTCTACTGGTTGCCCTTTTTCTGAGAAGCTCCGGGTTACATATGATCCCGACGACTACATGGACCGCATTGTTTGATGGTTTAGGGAGAAAGTCATTATTTGTACTGTGTTTCGGCCGACGACATAGAATCAATACTGTGTTTTTTTCGTGTTTTTCTTTCTTTTTTAGAATGTGGTTTGCGGCGGGGACATGTCATATTAAGGAGAGATGTACTCCGTAGGGCCGAGTCCAGGCAGGGGTGTGTGCACACACCTCCGATATTCAATCAAATCACTGAAATAGCCGCTAGGCTAGGTTCCACATGGCTGATTTCATTCTAGAGCGATGAGGCCGAACAGACAAGCCAAGAAGGATTCGGCGTCTAGAAGCCATTGAAACAATACTCGTCTTTATAGGCCCAAGAAGAAGCATATTATTCCTAGATTGAAGATGCCTTTTTGCCCAAGAGCCACATATAGTGCGGGAAGTATGTAAACACCAGGCGGGTTAGCCTGCCCCACTCTTTTAGTATGCTGCAACATATCGACCGTCAACGTTCAAGGTTCTCCTCCCATTTCCTTTATTCTTTGTGCGATATCCTCATTTTATTATTCTGGCCCATCATGACAGCTAGTGAGGTAGCCAGTTCTTTCTTTAAATATGCGTCAATACCAGTCGCTGTTGCGGTTGGGTTATATGCGATCCTCCTAGGATTACTCACCACGTCAACCTTCCAATCCCATGTCGTTTATCTACACGCAATTCAGATGACATGGTTCAAAGATCTCAATGTCCCCGAAACCTTTGGGTTCTTGAGGAACCAGGTCACTCCGTTCCCCATCAGAACGACGGACGGTGAACAGCTGTATGCTTGGCATATTCTTCCCGTGGAATTATATCGCAAGCATCAGATATCTCTCATAGAAGAGCCCGTGGGCTTCGTCTCCGATATCAAGTCTCGATTGGGATTTCAACTATTGCGGGAGGACCCCGAGGCTCGTTTGGTACTTCATATGCATGGCGCTGGGGGAACCGTCGCCTCAGGTTACCGCGTACCCAATTATCGTGCGCTGTCAGCGGGCAATCCTGGGAAAATCCATGTTCTCACATTTGATTACCGAGGATTTGGCAAGAGTACCGGGTCACCGTCTGAAATCGGGCTTATCATCGATGCTCTCGCCGTGGTGGATTGGGCAATGAACGTTGCAGGCATCCCTCCTTCGCGAATCTTGATATTTGGTCAATCGATGGGCACGGCTGTGAGCATCGCTGTGTCCAAACATCTTGCTGTACAGAATCCACCAATAGTATTCGCAGGCACCGTGCTGGTTGCGCCATTTGTGGATGTCGCGACATTGGTCTCAACTTACCGAGTGGCGGGTACCGTACCAATCTTGTCGCCAGTTGCGAGGTTCCCTTTCCTCTTCAAATATCTTCAGCGACTCATTCGAGACAAATGGCTGAGCAAGGATTGTATTGCGCAATATATCCGGGCTAACGAGCTGAATGAAGAGAAATACCGAATAACGATTATTCACGCGGAGGATGACTATGACATTCCATGGCATCATTCCCAACTTGTTTTTTGGCATGCGGTTAATGCTTCAATACCAGCCGGGATCAGTTATGATGACCTTGAACAAAAGAAGCTCGACTCGAAAGCAGATCTGGGGGCTGCCGGGTCCATGATGGAATGGAAAACGGATAACGGGGTTATTCGCGAAGAAATCTTGAAAACTGGATTGCACGATGTAATTATGGAGTACCCAGTAGTCACAATGGCGGTGATGCGATTTTTTGAGGCGGCAGATCCATCATTCACGCCTTGAGTTCAGCTTCTGTGTCTGGATAATAGCATGTAGACCTCGATTTTCTTAAAAAAGAAAGACAAAAAAAAAAAAAAAAAAATTTA